CACAAATTGGATCTAAGATTATCAGAGTCTTGAGATGTGCCGATTTGGTTCACCATTCGTTGCATTTGATTCACTGCTCGCATAGCAAAGACATAAACAGACATATCATAAGACAATTGTCTTCAGCGACAACACCACAAATGACAGACCATTCTGTGATATCTTCTGGACATTGGTGGCCACCGTCTGCGACAGTCGGGACCAGTCGTTGCGCTCATCGCCGCCGATCGTCGACTGATAGCCTCCTCTGTAACTCATGTCTGATATCCTCTACTGTTTACCACTCAATGATATATTAAATGCCAAAAACCAATGACTTCTTAATCTACACACAAAGACATGTAATCATGAGATAAGCGACACAATTGTGGGCACAATATGTGTGTTGACACGACTCACGAGTAGTCATACCTCTGAAGGGATAGTAATTAACGACAAAAATGAGTGACAAATACGACAACAAATATATTGAATATTCACTCAAATCATGTATGAATTAGTAATCAATTTGAATGTCACCACTGAATGACAAAAAACACAAAAACAAATCATTAATTAATTTGTGACTCATTTACAGTGCAATGAAATCCAAACACTGACTGACAATACGATGAGAGAGTGTTTACGATAGCATTAAATGTCTATTGAATACCATTTGAGACACTGAGTAGTGCTGTAAGTGTTATGTGTTTTACGCTTACCGTAAGCCGTAGTGCGGATGACATCACAGTATATGTAGGCGTCAGTAGCGCTCAACATATTACCCACTAGTGGCCCACAAACGCATACTTTTCAAACTATATTCACTATTCATTTAGCACTGAATTCACTAATTTTAAGCCCATTGTATACCTTGATAATCAGTTTAATACAACACCAAACATTGTTCCATGATGAAATATGACCTACTTTGTTAATTATAAGACTTACCTGGTTACTATGTTGGCTATATTGGCCCATAATAGTGTGTTACGTAAGTGTGCCTGATACGAACTGGGCGTTTCACAGCTATGTACAGTACAGTATTGCGTTGTCAATGAAACTTGAATCACAAAAAAAACTTTTTTCATTTAACTTTTTGTTTGTGAGTCTAGTTTTGTGTCTCTATTCCCATTGTATTAGCATTTGTTTGGTTTAAAAAAGACAAAAGTTTGCCACAAATTGTCTGTTTTTTCCGTATATAAAGCTCGCATTCATTCACTTTTAATACTAATGTATTTCAAACTTTTATTAGGCTTTCCATCGCATGCAAGCTAAAAGTTCCTTGATACAGTATTGTATTTGAAAGTGTCGCTCAGTAATGAAATTGAAAATAATTACATAAAATGTCCTAGATAGAGTAACACTTGTTTATTTTTAAATAAAAACCAAAATACTGAAAATGACACCAAAACTCAATGCATTTTCTATGAGCATTCCCAAAATGTTCTGGTCAATATTGAACATTAAATATCTCTGTGACCGGGTAACATAAAAATATGACCTTATATACCCAAAAATTGGCCATTTATTATGGATTCTGAATCTGAAATCAGATTTGAAATCCAATTCTGGGTTCAAGTGATATAAGCCTAAAACTAACACCAGGTTTGCTTTAATATGAGTATCATATATGACATATATTATATGTTCTGGGTTTCGGAGGTTTTTGTTATGTTTTTAAGGCTTTTAAGTATTTATTTCATTTAATTATCACATCATGTAATTCACTGATTACTATTCATCTTAAATTTTTACTATACTTTGATTTACACTCATTTTAAACTAATTATATCAACGTATTAGTTAATTTAGGTAAACCCCTATTCCTTTATTATGTAACGATATATGTGAACACTCGGATCATATGTGAATTCAATCATTAAAACACTTGCGATTCAGTACCTTTGTATATAACAAACATTAATAGACTAGCAATACATTGACATGACAACATATGGGCCCAAACCGTTGCCTGACTTTGCATTCATTGACATGTGTGTAGAAATGGCCGACTTTTGGTGTGCGTTTGTCCCGACGTTTGTGTCTATCATCTCATGATTACATGTCTTTCACTATAGATTAAGAAGTCATTCGTTTTTGGCATTCAATACACGAGACATGAGTTACAGCGGAAGCTATCTCTCGACGATCGGTGAGCGCAACGACTGGTCCCGACTGTCGCAGACGGTGGCCACCAATGTCCAGAAGATATCACAGAATGGTCTGTCATTTGTGTGTCTGTTGCTCAAGACAATTGTCTTATGATATGTCTGTTTATGTCTTTGCTATGCGAGCAGTGAATCAAATGCAACGAATGGTGAACCAAATCGGCACATCTCAAGACTCTGATAATCTTAGATCCAATTTGTGNCGTTGAATGAGGTGGTGGTGGAAAGGGATGTAGTTTTAGTGGGTGGGGGCGGTTCGGGCATCGCTTGTAACGCCTGTGTCGTCGTCGCCATGGGTTTAGTTATTGAAGGCTTTATTAAAGTGCTATTATTTCTATTACTATCGGCTATTGACTTATCAGTGGGCGTCGGGGCGGGAGGGCTACTGAACACGAACGACCCCTTCATGTTATTTTTATCGTCACTAAACGTTATATCACTCGCTTTGATGGTATCGACAATTGGCTTCCGTTTATTGTTCCTCTTGAGTACCGGCGCCGTGAACTTAAAAGCGGGCGGCGACTCGTCGGGCGCCACCTCTTCAGTGTCGGCGTTTACTTTAGTGACGGTTGTTGTGGGCAATGGTTTGGCTGAAGGCTGACGACTGGCGCCGAAGCTGAACGTCGGCATCGCGGCGCCCGACGGCATCACCAGCGGCTCGACGGTCGACAAGCGCTCCAATGTATCGGCGTATCGATTGTCGTCATCGACGGGCACTTTCGGTACTCTCCGCTCCTCGCGTGTCATCTTTCGCACCATTTTCCCGCCAAAATTCTCGCTCAACCGCTGAATGTCTGTCCCCTCGCCGGCGCCGACCCTATCGTCTCGCGACGACTCATCCAACGCTGATTTGGCGACTAAGTCGGGGTTCGGCACGAGTTTTAGCTCCCATTTCTGGGTCGGGAACTTGTAATCGGTGGTCGAGGCGGTGGCCAGGGGTGAGGCGCCGGTTGGCGGACCCAACTTAGGCCTCTTGTTATGCCTGAACAGGTAGTGCGAGGAGTGAAAGTAGTCCTTCAGCTCCGACCGCGAGCTGTACGGCTGTCGTCGGGCGTCCTGTACGGGTGTCGACGCCTTCTCCAACTTCTCTAATATACGTCTGGAGGCGGCGCTCAACTCGTCCGAGACGTCCACCACCTGATGCCGGGGCGGCATTGGCTTCACCGTCAGCATTGGCGCCAAATGGTTGCGCAGCGATAAGCTGTAGGGTGTGGTGCCGGCCAGGCGTACGGAACAGCTGTTGTTAGTCATGGACCCAAACCTCTGCAAATTACTCAGATTTGATGGTTTTCTGGATGAGTAGTGGTTCCACACATTACTCTGCAATTGGGTAACAACATAGGAACGTAATTAGCAAAACAAGTACCGGTGCTGTCGTAGCAAACACTTACAGAATTGAGTCCAGAGTTAGTCCGGACTCTGATCACACTCTCCTTCTCCTTGGATGCGGCCGTCCGTTGAATCACTTGAAAGTTCTTCAGCGCTTCCGAGAAGTCATTCGTGAGTCTCTCCCTCAGCATTCGTCTCTGTTTCTGGTGATCATAGCATCCAAACCACAGACACAACCATTAGTTCAATCACTTGTAAGACAAGGGCTCGTCATTGAAAATACCTGTTCCGAGACATTAGTTGGTTGTGGCAGTTGTGCCAACTCTTTGAGGTTATTGTTCGTGTCTTTCGCCAATTGGTTGGTGTAGTGCTGGACCTCATGTCTGCAGTTATCACACAATCATTAGTAGAGATCATAACAAAACACTAATCAGTTTCGCGTAAAATAAACATATGTTTAACAAAACCACACAAACAACTAGATCTCAAACATCACCGAAACTCATACCAAATGAATGGCTAATAAGACACTGAAAAACACTCACAAATTGGATCTAAGATTATCAGAGTCTTGAGATGTGCCGATTTGGTTCACCATTCGTTGCATTTGATTCACTGCTCGCATAGCAAAGACATAAACAGACATATCATAAGACAATTGTCTTCAGCAACAGTCACACAAATGACAGACCATTCTGTGATATCTTCTGGACATTGGTGGCCACCGTCTGCGACAGTCGGGACCAGTCGTTGCGCTCACCGATCGTCGAGAGATAGCTTCCGCTGTAACTCATGTCTCGTGTATTGAATGCGAAAAACGAATGACTTCTTAATCTATAGTGAAAGACATGTAATCATGAGATGATAGACACAAACGTCGGGACAAACGCACACCAAAAGTCGGCCATTTCTACACACATGTCAATGAATGCAAAGTCAGGCAACGGTTTGGGCCCATATGTTGTCATGTCAATGCATTGCTAGTCCATTAATGTTTGTTATATAAAAAGGTACTGAATCGCAAGTGTTTTAATGATTGAATTCACATATGATCAAAGTGTTCACATATATCGTTACATAATAAAGGAATAGGGGTTTACCTAAATTAACTAATACTTTGATATAATTAGTCTAAAATGAGTGTAAATCAAAGTATAGTAACAATTTAAGATGAATACTAGTAATTACTAATTAGTGAATTACATGATGTGATAATTAAATGAAATAAATACTTAAAAGCCTTAAAAACATAACTAAAACCTCCGAAACTCAGAACATATACTCATATTAAAACAAACCTGGTGTCGGTTTTAGGCTTATATCAATTGAACGCAGAATTGGATTTCAGATCTGATTTGAGATTCAGGATCCATAATAAATGACCAATTTTTGGGTATATAAGGTCTTATTTTTATGCAACCCGGTCACTGAGATATTTAATGTTCAATATTGACCAGAACATTTTGGGAATCCTCATAGAAAATGCATTGAGTGTTGGTGTCATTTTCAGTATTTTGGTTTATATTTAAAACTAAACAAGAGTTACTCTATCTAGGACATTTTATGTAATTATTTTCAATTTCATTAATGAGCGACACTTTCAAATACAATACTGTATCAAGGCACTTTTAGCTTGCATGCGATGGAAAGCCTAATAAAAGTTTGAAATACATTAGTATTAAAAGTGAATGAATGCGAGCTTTATATACGGAAACGGCAGACAATTTGTGGCAAACTTTTGTCTTTTTTAAACCAAACAAATGCTAATACAATGGGAATAGAGATACAAAACTAGACTCACAAACAAAAAGTTAAATGAAAAAAGTTTTTTTGTGATTCAAGTTTCATTGACAACGCAATACTGTACATAGCTGTGAAACGCCCAGTTCGTATCAGGCACACTTACGTAACACACAATTACGGGCCAATATAGCCAACATAGTAACCAGGTAAGTCTTATAATAAACAAAGTAGGTCATATTTAATCATGGAACATTGTTTGGTGTTGTATTAAACTGATTATCAAGGTATACAATGGGCTTAAAATGAGTGAATTCAGTGCTAAATGAATAGTGAATATAGTTTGAAAAGTATGCGTTTGTGGGCCACTAGTGGGCAATAGGTTGAGCGCTACTGACGCCTACATATACTGTGATGTCATCCGCACTACAGCTTACGGTAAGCGTAAAACACAACACTTACAGCACTACTCAATGTCTCAAATGGTATTCAATAGACATTTAATGCTATCGTAAACACTCTCATCGTATTGTCAGTCAGTGTTTGGATTTCATTGCACTTTAAATGAGTCACAAATTTATTAATGATTTGTTTTTGTGTTTTTTGTCATTCAGTGGTGACATTCAAATTGATTACTAATTCATACATGATTTGAGTGAATATTCAATATATTTGTTGTCGTATTTGTCACTCATTTTTGTCGTTA